CCTCTTTTTGAAATTTCTTGCCAACTCCTTGCTTGGATGTCCCAACAACCATCATACAAGGATGGGGGATGTATGCCTCATCTCGGTTGCCTTATTCCGTATCCACGTGGATTTCAACCTCTGTAATCTCATGTGGGCTCATCTAAAGAAGGAAAGTGTGGCAAAGGGTGCTATCGTAGTGGGCGGGGTGATTATGCACTTGGCCACAAAGTTCGGGTATACGGATGACTCTCCTATACCCGACTACTGTTTAATGAACATATCTTGGCTAGGCCACTCGGGCTGTACTTCTTTTTCACACACCGTTTATGGTGAAGAAAGGCCCAAAAATATGTACAACTGGCACATCCACCCCAAACCCCTCAAATACTTCCTCTTGCCCAACCCAGAACTCCCCCAACTCCACTTCAAAACAGGCAGATCGGATCAACATTACCTCTTCCCAAACGCACTCCCACCACATCTTCAAGAACCGGAACAGGAACTCCCCCAAAACCAACCCGATGACGAGCCCTACGAGAAACTCCATAGCCATCCAACCATGAGCCATGATTTCCCAGAACAAAGCCAAAACCCTCCACCACCCGAATTCTTTCAACAACTTCTGGAGGGTCAACAACAACTTCTTACGGGAATAGCCCAAATGGACAACCGGCTCAACCGATTAGAGGAAGAGCAAAGAGTCGGTTTTCAAAGATTGGAGGATGAGCAAAGGGCCGACTTTCAACGTTTGGAGGAGCTTCGGGAGGCCGATAGACACCGGTATGAGGAAGACCAACATAGGTTCTACGGGCCTATGTACTCGTTTATGGCACAGCAGGGATCCTTCCATACCATGGCGAACCCTCCTCCACCACCCTCATGGTATGACCCCACTCATTGGGGTAACTTTGGAGGATCTGGCTCCGGTGGTGGAGGGTACGACGGCGGAGATGGCGGGGACACTTACATGGGAGATGGTGGCCAAGGGAGCGGCTTTGGAGGGAGCTACTACGGAGGAGAAGGCGGGCACTAGGGACAGTGCGTGATTCAAGTGCGGGGGAGACACTCATGATGGTATGTAATTCTCATTTGTACCTAGCACTATGCATGTAATTCTTTTAAACTTTTACACTCAAAAAAAAAATTAAAGAAAAAAAAAATAAACAAAAGAAAATAAATGCTAGTTAGGTTGAAAACCCAACAAAATGGGCAATCTAAGCAAAAAAGACTTATAAAAAAATGAGTGAGTTGGAGAGAATGGAAAATGAAAAGAGGTGCTAGGATGAAAACCTGAAAAGGCTCCTAGGCAAAATGAGAGATATGAGAGAAATGTTTGTTCTTGCAGGCACTCATTGTATCCTTATGAAGAATATGAAGATTCAAGATAAAGAAGAAGAGAGGAGGAGAAAAGAAGACAACACTAGGAGGCCATTAAACCCAAGATGCTCTTTTGTGATTTGAGTTTAAAACTCATTTTTCTTTGTAATCCTTGGTGGTCTTTGTGTTTGTATTATATTTTTGTTGAACTGTGGAACTTTTGGACAAACATTGACACTTGTAAACATTTGATCTTACTCGAGACGAGTAAAGGTTTAAGTGTGGTGGAGTTGATACGTTCGTAATTTCCATTTCTATGTTTATGTTTTTAATTAGTTTTGCTTGACTTTTACTTTGGAAATTACACAATTTTGGTGTAATAGATTAGATTGTTAAATTCTTGTAAATAGGTTAGATTAGACATATTCTGAGCTTAAGCAGGTTTTGGTCACCCAAAGTACAGTTGGTGAACCCAAAAAGTGAAGAGAAGGTGCAAAAGACAAAAGAAGATCCTGAATTTTGGTCTATACTCGGTCGAGTATTAGCTATACTCGATCGGGTATTAGGTTGGAACTTCAAATCGGATCAGATCCGAAGACAAAGAAACATGCAGGGAAGATTTTGGCCACGATTCTATGTCTATACCCGATCGGGTAGACCGACATACCCGATCGGGTATGCCTTTAAATTGCAAACGAAGATCGGTCGAGTATAGCCCGAATACCACTTTCTAAGCATACTCGACCGGGTATTCATATATACTCGATCGGGTATGCCTTTAAATTGCAAACGAAGATCGGTCGAGTATAGCCCGAATATCACTTTCTAAGCATACTCGACCGGGTATTCATATATACTCGATCGGGTATACACTTAGAAAATAGCCTGAAACCGGTCGAGTATGCCTCGGATCGGATGTTACACACATACTCGATCGGGCACCATGTATATACCCGATCGAGTACCCGAATCTCATCCCAAAAACCTATAAATACACCTCCTTTCCTTCACAAAAAGATATCCAATCCCTTGTACATCTAAGCTCAGTATAGAATAGCTCTTTCTTTATATTTTTCATCATGTTTAGTCTCCAAATGAGGAGCTAAACTCTTCCATCTTGGTTTTGCTACTTTGAAGCTTAATGAATTTGTAAGTTGTGAGTTATTTTCTTTAATCTTCTTCCTTGAATATTAATTCTTTCTTTCAAAATACTATCTCTATATCAAAGTTGGGGAGTGTTACTAAGATGACAATTAGTTAACATCTTGACATTGGTTATAGTAATAGCTATTTCTTCCTCTATGATTATATTTGGGAGTGTTGCTAAGATGACAATTAGTTAACATCTTGATATTAATCATAGTAGGATTCATATATTTTAATATTCTTCCTTGAGTATTGATTAATTCCTATTCATATTTCATGTTAATATCTTAAACATTACTTAAAGTATCAACTAGTATTGTTTCTCATATTAATTATTACTAGAATCAATCGGTTAATACGCTTGTTATTAATCCGGTTCTTTCAACGGTAGTAAACTTGGAATATTAATGCATGCATCTCATGGTTAATATGCCAAGAGGAATTAATTATATTGATTAAACCAATAAACCGCTTGTGTTGAGGTTATCAATCTCAATCGTTTTCATCTTAAGTTTATTGCTACTATCAAGTTAATATACGGCGCTTGTTCTATATTGACTCGATAGTAAGTTTTATTAATGAACGCATCTCGTTATTAATAACTACCCTCGATGAACTGGATATACTCCTCGATTGAGTATTCGAGAGGAAGATAGTTAAAGATATAACCGGGATCGATGAACATTTCATTAAGTGGATACAAGCAAAACCAAGTCCCCATCTCATTGAATTAAACTCATATAGGTCGTTTATCTTAGTGTTATTAAACCAAACAAATCTAAACCCCCCTTGTTATTATTTATATAAAAGAAAAGTATTCCTTTCCCTGTGGATACGAACCTTACTACACTATACTACGTATTAGTGTTGTATTGATTAATTATTTTGAGTGCACCTAACGACGAGTGCACGTCACTTATTGAGTTATAATTCACATGAAACTTTGAATCGATTCATTTGGAATTCTCTACAACAAGTTATACTCGAATTATATGCAGAACGTCATCCTCTTGGTCCAAAAAGCCGTTCATCGCAATGTTCTATGCTCTTGCTCTCATTCTGAAGGTATTTTCCCAATTTTTCTTCTTTTCTTCAACGAATACTTATGGTAAACACAAGTAAATATAACGGCTATCAAATTCCCCACACTTGAGCATTGCTTGTGAAGTACATCCATACACAATTACAGTTAGCTGATATTTTTACTAAAAGTCTTTCTAGTTAGCTGATATTTTAAAAGACAACCTGCGCGTTGTATCTCGCACACAGTTTGAGGGGGTGTAATAGAATATTAGTAGGATATTTGTTTCCTTGTATGTCTCAAACTCTTCGTTATATAAATATATCTGTCAGGACTCCTATTGGAGTACATTTTCCCAAAATCTCACACATTGTAGTAACTATTAATCATATATGTGTAAATAAGCTTTATTTTAGTAATAATTTTGAAAAAAACCCTTCTTTTAATAGGACTAAATAATATAACCCTTCTTTTGGAAGAAAACATAGTTGATCAAGGCGTCTGTCAGGATTAACATGTCTGACTGGGTTAAGTGGTATTTGAAGTGCCTATTTTGTTAGAAAGCCGCCACTTCAAGTGGCGGCTCTTCTATTGTAAGAGAAAAACTCCCACTTCAAGTGGCGGCTTTCCTTAACCACGGTTAATCCAGCAGTATTTTGAGAATTATTTTAAACCCAACAGTATTTTGGGAATTATTTATTTATTTAGCATTATTCCGGGGAAAAACTCGGTAGAATAAGCCAATACAGTTAATTCAGCTAGAACTTCATAAATTTCATCAGAATAAGCTGATTCAGTCGATTTCAGGATTACCAAACGACTCTAAGTTCAATAAGTCGAAAGTAAACAACCCATTACGTAATTTTTAATTTTACGCACTAAATTGTGTAATAGTCAAAATAAGTACGATTTTTTTTTTTGTTGAATCAATAGAAGTTAACGTAAAAGATCATTTAAAGTTTTAAACTTTTTTTCATAATTTTTTTATAAGTTCTAGGGAAAACTGTCAAATAGGTCCTCGAACTTTCATAAAAAAGTCAATTAAGTCCTTCTATAGGAGACTCTGTCCGGTCGTCGCGATTTGGGGCGGTTCCCGGTGGATTTTTTGATGAAATTTTTTGAGCATCTTATTCATCAAGTCTAGTTTACTCATGCCAAATTTCAGCTAAAACTTTAATCGGGAGCGCATTCAAATTAATTCGAGAACGCAAAAATGCGCAGTTATCTTCAAGAATTAATTTGAATGTGTTCCCGATTGAATTTTTAGCTGAAATTTGGTATGAGTAAACTAGACTTGGTGAATAAGAAGCTCAAAAATTTTCATCAAACAATTCCACCGGGAACTGCCCCAAATCGCGATGGCCGAACAGAAATTTTTATAGAAGGACTTAATTGATCTTTTTATGAAAGTTCGAGGACCTATTTGACAGTTTTCCCTAAGTTATATTAACAAAATATATTTCTCATATTTTTTCTCTATTCAATAGAGCCACTTCAATTTTGTCGATTTGAGTTAGAACTTTAGAATACATGCTACTCCGTACTACGTGCGATAGAAAAAAAAATCGGCTAGGGTTTGGCGGTTTGCCATCGCCCTCCTCTCAGTTCTTCGCTTGACAGATCCGCTACTCTGCTACTCCGTAATAACACTCCTGGCCTATTATTTTTAATCACCCTGAAAACTCACATTAAAATCCCCGGCCTATTATTTTTCTCCGATCGTTTGTTCCTCGTCTACTCCGTTGCGGGCTCGCCCCTCTATCTACCTTTACTTGGCGCTTCAGACCTACAGTAAAACACAGAGCACATCCTCCAATGTCAAATTTCCTCCTCTGTAAGCCCTGCCTCCTTTTCTTTTTAATAAAATTTAAAATTCTGTTCTTTCAATGTTATATGAATGAATTGAGCTGCAAGTTTAAAACTTTGAGGTATTGTTATGATCGGGCATTTGTAATGAGGACTTAGATTATTTTCTTATTAAGCTATTCATTTATGAACATCTCAAACATCACAATTACACACTCACATAAACATGTGTAGCCATGTAAAGTGTCTTATAACTGAACTATAACTCTGAGTTAGTCTTTGTATGTACTACCTCAGTCCCATTTTTTTTCTCTTTCAATTGGCAACTTTATTAATAACATGTGGAAATGTATGGTCGTAGTTGAGGTAGAAAAAGAAGAAAGAGTGTTAACCGCATGGACCATTCCTGTAAAGGAAATGAGAAGAAAACTTTGGGTCATCCAAAAAGGAAAATTGTAACAAAATTTTGGGACGGAAGGTTTAGGGAGTATCAATAATATATATACTTACCCACAGCCCACTATTGTTTAATTGGTTACATATTGATTAATATATACACTTTTTACACTATTGCTTATTAAACTCCTGAGTTTCATATGCACTATAGATTAGATTTATATACAACCTCCTGTGCTTTTGGTTAAAAACTTATGTAGTAATTATTGTATTTAACAAAAATATAGACCATTATAAATATGAAACAAAGTAACAAACCTTCTATGTCATGTGGTATTGCTATGATTCGAATGAATGAGATGTTCTATCTTTAACCACATATGAACCTTCTTAGAAGTGTTTCAAGAGAGAGATATAAAATGTGCTCCAAGTAGTTTTTTTATTAAGCATGGAAACTCTTGGGAAAGAGTACGCTTCTGTTTCGGAAACTCTTTGGGAATTATCCAAACAGTTGCCTTTTACTCTGTATTAAAGATAGATGCTTCCCGTTTCCCCATGTTTCCATGCAGCATATATGTGCTATCATAAAACATGAAGTGTCCGGACAGGGTTGGCTATAACTTTGACAGGATTAGAGGCTACGTATAACGTTTTTTTCATGTTCTCTTTAATAAATGTTTTTGATTCTTCACAGGAATCCATTAGATCGCCATAGCCTCCTTTAGGGAGTATATATCAGTATATCACAACGTGCAGAGACTGATGGCGAGAGGATCAGAGGGTGCTGAAACTATTCTGTCTTGCACTCAATGTGGGAAACCGGCTCGTCTTCAGTATGTAACTGACTATACCTATATTCTCTTCGTGTTGCGTAATGATCTGTCTTTCTAGTTCATTTCTAATTGTATATGCATTTTCTATAGTTTAGATATTTGTGTATGTATTAAGTGCCTCTTAATGTTTGTGAGTTATATTTTTGTATATGGGATGCATTTACTTTTACTATATGCACACAATGCTTCCTGTGCATATACACTTATTGTTACTATGATTACACTGGTTAACAAGTTTGATAGTCGGTTATAAATTATGCTTTATTTTTCTGATTGCATGTGAGGTGTGGACGTGTGGTGTTTATTAATCTGATTAAAATCTACTAAAATTGCGTTAAATTTTATTCTTTTAAATTTGATATACTGTACAATTGTAGTTATTGTTAAGCTTTTGTATTTTTTATTTGGAATAGTAATGGGTATAGATTGTCAATTTGTCTGCGGACTTGTTTCTGCCATCTTTAGCTTCATAAAAGAGACTTTATTTATGGTTCTTGCAGCATCTTCTCCATTTTTTTCTACTACTATTACACTTATTTGGTTTTGCAGGTGCCCCAAATGTATGGAGTTAAAGCTTCCTCGTGCAGGGGCTTCCTTCTGGTTTGTATCTATAGCTGCAATTTTGACTTTCTTTTCACCATATTTTTTAAGATTCTAGTTTTTACTTGATAATTTTTACAAAAAAAAGCTTCTATTTACAGCACACAGGAATGTTTTAAGGCTTCCTGGAGCTCCCACAAAGTAGTCCACTTAAAGGCAAATCGGTCTTCTCTCTCAACTGACACCCCAGTAGAAAAAAGTGGTTCATCAACTGATGGATGGTCATATTGCTTGAAGAAAGGGCAGTCTAGAACGACAAAACTTCCTCATTTTGACTGGACCGGGTATTCTACATAATTTGAAAAGGGTTGCTAGCTTAAGGGCATAAAGAAAACTGAAACCACTGTAAATTTATATTCAGCCTGAGTGTGTAATTAAATAATTATCCCATTTGGTGCTTTTGTCATCACAGGACACTAAAGCCTTACCCGATCTCAAATAAACGTTTTGTTCCTGGTCACATCGATCAACCTGATTGGGCTGTTGATGTGAGTGTCTTTTTTATTGAAGATTCACTGCAGTGTTTTGTAAATGTAGTAAGAAAAGCTTTTTGGTCATCATCATTCATCATCATCATTACACCAGTGCTGCAACGGCTCCCACCTACGGTGGGGTAGGGGGAGGGGGTCGGATGTACACAGTCATTGGAGAGACTGTTTTTGGTATCGGCTAAAAATCAACCCGTTTGTAGAAATCACTGTTATCAAATAAAAATTAAAAAATAAAGTTGGTATATTTGGCTGGCTAGGCTTCCATAGTCCAAAGAGAACTTGAAAATTGGCTTTAGGGGGCCAAATAAACTTGCTTTATTTCTTAAAACTGTGTACTGTGCATTGCTTGTTCAGACTAGAAATGGAAACTCATTTGATCTGTTTAGACAATTCACTCCAATGACTTCTGCTGCTCAATTCTAAATTTTTTCTTACTCATTTATGTGTTACTTTATTATTTTCTTTGGCAGGGTATCCCAAAAATTGAGCCAAACAGTGATCTACAGCATGTTGTTGAGGTACCCTTTTAAATTTTTGTCTCAATGCTAGTGGATCAATGCCTTGGGTAGTTTATCATTTAACTTTTTTCTTCAAATTTCATTTTATGAAGATCAAAACTCCAGAGCAAATTGAACGAATGAGAGAAACCTGCCGTGTAAGTTTGTTCTTTTTTGCCTCCATTGTGCAAGGAACACCTTTAATTGTCTTGTTGTACTATTTTCTTAAATGTTGTATCTTTGTATTTATTTCCTTTATTGTTACTACATTTCGTAATATTGTTGTCAGATTCTTGGCTCAGGCCTCAGAGTTTATGATTGCTAATTAAGGTGTTTTTTTTTTAGTTTTTTCTATTAAGACACATTATTTTAATGTGGGTGGGTAGAAAATATGAAAAATGACCTACCTAAGTTCACAAAAATTGGGTGTGTAGAGCATTCAATAATTGGGTCCTTTCCGAAATAGGAAATGTAGGAAATGCGGAAACTAGTTTTGGATCAACAGAAAAAGAAAATAGGGGATACTATTAAAAGGACTATTAGTTTTTTTTTGTAATATTCAAATTGTCTTTCAGATAGGAAGAGAAGTTTTAGATGCAGCTGCTCGCATTATTCAACCTGGTGTAACCACTGATGAAATTGATGCTGTGGTTCATGAAGCTACCATTGCTGCTGGTATGCTTGCTTCCACATTTGGTGGAATACTTATCCCATCCCCCCAATTAATCTTCTAGGTTTAACTTGGCAAACTTACTATGAAGAGTGTGGTTGACGATGAGACTTATGGTTGAGAATTTGAAATGAAATGAGTCAACCCATATCAACCACACATTTTTTCATAAGAGGCATTTAGGAAACATGAAGATTATTTTAAGACAAACCCAAAACGAAAGCAAGAAGATTATTTTGGTAGTAGGGATAAATTTCTGTAATACAGTACCTAAACTGCAAAGTTCTATCTCCGTTCTTTCATGATTGCAATGTTTCTACATTTTCACTATTCACATTACTTTACCCGCATTTTATTTGTTAATCTTTTAAAAATTCATATTTTGAAAGTATTATTAAATTTATCTCAATGTGAAATTTCAAAATATGACTTCTTTAATAATCTTAACTCATAGCCATAAATATATTAATAATCAAAGTTATGTGGGTACTGAAAAAATTTGCTACTAAATAAAGAACAAAGGAAGTATAGTTTCTGTGGATACTGAAAAAGTTGGCCATGATGTCTGTCAATTTCTGTGGGTATGGTTTTGATAAAGCTATGTGTTTGACTGTTGGAGAATGTCACGCCCTAGAAGTATATTGTGTTTCCTCTAAATTATTGATATACCCTTTGCAGGTGCATATCCATCTCCTCTAAACTATCATTTTTTCCCCAAATCATGCTGCACGTAGGTATTTTAAATCAGATATTTGCATTGTTTATGGTGTATTGTGATCCACTGATCTATTTGATTGTTGACATTTGCCACAGTTCAGTTAATGAAGTGATCTGCCATGGGATTCCTGATGCAAGGTATTTCCCTTATTCAAGCATGAAAGAACTGAATAATTGTTATTATTTAATCTATTCCAGTTTATTTCCTCACTTTACATAGTAGCTATTATGTTCAGTTCAGTCTGGTCTCTGGTGATATTAATTGTTCTTTTGAATTGTTTCAGGAAGCTAGAGGATGGTGATATAGTAAATGTTGATGTCACAGTGTGTTATAAGGGGGTTCATGGTAAGGATCATAATATCACTCTTCACCTGTATGATATATCGTGCAAATTATTTTTTGGAGTTCTACCTTATTTTTCTCTTATCCACAACCATGAAGGTGATCTGAATGAGACATTCTTTGTTGGTAATGTTGATGAAACTTCTCAGCGACTGGTTCAATGTACATATGAATGCTTGGAGAAAGCTATATCAATTGGTAGGTCTTGTTTCTCTATTTTCTGTATATTGAAGAAACCATCTTTATGCAATTATGCTATCTAAAGCATTTTCAATTCTCAAGTTGTTTCTTTATGTGCTAATGATTCTATGTTATTGGCAGTTAAACCAGGAACACGTTTTCGGGAAATAGGAGAGGTCATTAATCGACATGCAACAATGTCAGGGTTCTCTGTGGTAAGTTGGAATTTCATAATAAACAAAGGGGTAAATAAAGAAACAAGTAAATGAACAAATAAAAGCAGAAAAGGAGAGAAATGATTGGCGTTTGTTTAATACAGTTTGTTATTTGAGGGGTCATTTCGATTTTTTTTTTCAACAGGTGAAATCATATTGTGGCCATGGTATTGGAGAGCTGTTCCACTGTGCACCAAATATTCCCCATTATGCAAGTATCCTCATGATATTCTCATTTTTGTTGTGGATTATGGAGAATAGTTCACTAAGCCATTATGACTCATACAGATCATTAAAAAATCTGATCCATTTAATAAAATCCACACATTTCATCTGTAGAGATTATTGAGTGATGAATTTACTTATACTTTAGCAGGTAAATGGTAACCATAAACTACTATTCTTAACATCCCAAAAATGGTTTGACTGATGTTATTTTCAACTTAATTTTAAAAACATTTTATTGAGTACTAAGGGTGTTATTAAACAAATCCATACTCCCACAATTCCCCTGAACTTTGCCAACTTTCTTTGTTTTCCCTTTAAAGTAACTGATTTGTAATTAATGCTACCTCCGTCCCTAAAAGAACTTCCTAGTCTGAATAGCTTAGAAATGATTTTTTCTTGACTCCCTGAAATGCCCCTCTTAGTGAGGGTAAATTTTATTGTATAGAACACTGTTTTGACAATATTTGACACTGTTTGACACTGTAGAATCATTATAACGTAAGAGTAGTAGAGTAAATTGGCAGGAGTTTGTTTACTAAATAAGGAATAATGACTTTATTTAGGGATGTCTCAAAAAGAAAACAGAAAGTTCTTTTAAGGGATGAGGGTATTATTTATATCTCTGCACTAACCTACCTCACAAATTTTTCTTTATATTCCACGTGCGAGTCAAATGTGGTCAAGCTTAGTGGGACAGTGGACCAAAGAAGGATCTACATTAGGGTTATAGTGGGCTGAAGCCCAAGGCAACTTAATTTTTTTCAATTCTTTTTATGTAAATCTTTCCATTTTTCATATTTAACCCACCCCGCTAATGTTTAAGCCTAGTATAACTAATCTTCATCCCAGCCCAACCTAGATTCATGGATCCACTTGTGACATTGGTATTTTAAAACTGCTATAAAAGTTATCTATAATACAGGATGTGACTTTCATTTTGGGATGGATATAAATGTGGAAAATAAAATAAGGAATGGATCACATCCATATGATGCAAATGGATGCATGGGTGATGGGTTCAGTCCATTATTGTTATTAATTAATAATTTTTTATTACCACTATTAATATTAATAGTATTATTGTCATTATTATTAGTATTATTGTTATTGGTATTATTATTAATTTTAGTGGATGGATATTCTTTGGTTACCCCCAAATCTCCCGTTGTTTACCTTAACATGATCAGGAAACAAAGCAGTTGGTGTAATGAAGGCTGGGCAGACCTTTACTATAGAACCCATGATCAATGCAGGTAATTACGAGTCGTTTCATGTTTGAGTCAGGTTTACTATATCTGTGTGTGGGGGTATGTGACTATGTGAGAGAGAGATAAATGTTGAGATGTGCCTTTCCTCATGTAAATAAACTTTGTGTGGGAGCAGGGGTTTGGCGTGACCGGATGTGGCCTGATGGATGGACAGCTGTAACTGCTGATGGGAAACGCAGTGCCCAGTTTGAACACACGCTGCTGGTAAGAGTGTCATTAATTAGCACTTATATACATAGTATGTTTTAAGTATTTTATTTGAATTGGTTGAGGTGGTTCCTATTTTATTTAGCATGTAGGTGCATCCCTTGCAATTAGCTTCAAACCAACCACTTAATCTTTCAAACATTCATCTTGAAGTTATGATTATCTTCTTGTGGTTGGAACTGATAAGCTTGTTTTAAAATCTAGTGTTTGAGATGACTTGTTCACAAAGAATGTGTGATTTTAAAATGTTCTCCTACCCCAAAAAAGAAGTGCTTGGCAGGAAAATTGAGAAGTACTTTTAGCCGCAAGAATAGCAGTTTGAACTATGTGTATTCAAGCTAAAAAGTACATATTCTATAATTTGACAACAAACAGTGAAATGAGCAAGATAATTAACTTTGTGTTTGAGGAGTTATAATGAGCTTTGTTCAAATAGGTGACTGAGACAGGAGTTGAAGTTCTCACGGCTCGACTGCCCTCGTCTCCCAGCGTGTTCCCCTGGCTGAAATCTGCGACACATTAGATGGTCTTTGAACAGTGTCAAACTTGCAGCATGGCATTTCTTATTCAAGGAGACAGTTACATCCACATGCCCTCTTCCCTATATTATATTTTTGAGTGTTGAAATTTTGGCTTTACAAAAAAAAGTAGTTCATTAGTAGGATGTAAGATTCAGAATTGAAATTTTAAGATATCCATTTTAAGATATATAGGTGGTGTACTTTTTTGTGGACGACTGGTTACGACATAAGATGTTCGTTTGAGAAAAATGCCATAAAGGTTGTGACAAAGGGACACTCTCTTAGAATATCCATTTTTTGGCATTAATTTTCAGTTATGTTGAATAAATTGGCGTGGATCTGGTCCATTTCTGGTCTTCAAATAAGCAGAACTCTAACTAGAACCGGTAATAGATTAATAGGTAGTTCAGTTCCGGAACAATTACAATGTATGAATATATGATTATGATTTATGGGTAAGGAATTGTCTGGCAGCGCGGCTTCCGGTTACAAACCCTTCCTGGCTAGGGATGGACTCGGGCCGGGTGGCCCGACCCGGAACCGGCCCGGGACCGGCACTGTTCCGGCCCGGCCCGACCCGGTGGCCTGGTCAGTGACCGGTCCGGGTAGGCCCGGCCCGTGGGTTTTCCGGTCCGGGCTCGGGTCACCCAAAACAAGGCCCGACCCGGCCGGGCCCGGGCCCGGTTCGGGTCAATTTTTTTTTTTTTGTTTTTTCAATTTTTTTAACTTTTCGGGTTGGGCTGGGTATTTTGGGCCATTTGGGGTGGTTTGGGGGGTTGGGAGTGGGAGGGGGGTTAATTAGGAAGAGGAAAACAAAAAAAAATATATATATAATGGGCCTGGCCCGGCCCGACCCGGCCCGGACCCGGACCGGACCCGGTGGTTACCCGGGCCGGTCCTGGGTCCACCATTTCTGACCCGCCGGCCCGCCCGGGCCTAGGCCCGACCCAGACCCGGCCCGGACCCGAGTCCAACCCTATTCCTGGCCCAGTTAAGTTTCTGTGTCCAAAACTGAGACCATGTCCACATAGATTGACTGAAGTTGATTATGTACTAATATAAGACTCCTACCATATAAGAATTTCTGATTGATTCATTGTTTGGATAACTAATTAGCAACTGTAGAGGCTTGATGCTATCCGTTTCTTTATAGTTTATACTATGTAAAATTTTATGTCCATCGTGTTGTATCCAAATGTTAACAGTTCAACTGATGAATTGGAATGCAAACCAGTCAAGCCGCTTGTGAGCAACTCATTAGCTGCTTAGTTAAAACTTGAATTCGAGCTGGCTTGTTTAAGCAATCGACTTGAACTTGAGCTCACAAGTCATGACATATCTATATGCATGACCAAATATTTGATATTATCTATTTATTTGAATATATAAATCGGCCAAAACACCAAATTGCTACAAAAAAGGCTGGTAAAAAACACTGGAGACAAATTGGGAAAAAATAAATCTTCAATGGAAGATTAGTCAATTTTTTGTGAGGGACCAAGTATTTTGAAAAATAACAATTTTACTAATATTTAAAAAAAATTACTCCATAAAATCGTTGCGAATATTTTTACTATTTTATCTGTATAAATGTTTTTTCCATTTTAAAAAAAATCACATAATAGTCATATTTAAAATTTAATACGAAAAATAAATGAATTTATGTGTGTGCTCGTGTAAATGTACATGTGTTAAAAATGATAGTGGTAGTGTAGTTATATAAAATAAAAGTAAATACAAAGTATAATTTTTAACTTTTTCCGAAACTTATTAAAAAAATTAAAGAAATAATGTTAAGCTAAATGTATATACTTTTAAATTCATATTCGTAATCGTCATTTTACATCTTAACAGCTAATCGCAAACATCTAATTTACTAAATAGTTTACTTCAAATCTCTAACAAAAGCTGTTGGTTAAAACAGCTAGAAAAACACGTCAGTATCAATCTGCTGATTCAACTGACAATCAGCTAGCAGCCAACCGCTAATCATTAAACATCCTCGTTGAAAATTTTAATTATCCATTTTTTATGATAAAATCACATTAGAAGAACTAAAATGTCAATTTTACAATATTTAGGGGACTAAACATCGGATATTCTAAAGTTGGGACTAAAAATGTCACTCACAAAATTTTAACTAATATGTCACCGAAGCTTTGTTTTTTACTTTTTTGTTTTGGATGAAATTCAAATATGTATACAATCATCCAAAAGTGTTTTGTACAACATATGAACAACAGATCAAAACTATAGGCAATCCCAAGAAAGGATGCCCTATCACCTCATAAATTAACTAACTAATCATCTATGATGCCCATAGCAAAAATTAGGTGACAAAAACAATTTCAAAACGTGATCATGTGGTACGGATATAGAGAATACAGAATTTTGTAGACCATGTATTTGATACGTGTAAACATATCCTCCACTTTGAGTGTAGCTCCATCAAACCGTAGGGAATTACGGACCTTCCATATCCAATATGTGGTATAGCAAAATAATATTCATGTAGCTTTAGCTCTAATGTGTGCTTCATTGCATTCCTTTAGGATCCACTTGACTGCACGGTCTGCACCCCTTAAGGATTTCATTTGTCTTTTTATTCCTAGCCATTCTCTCACCATCTTCCAAATGGGTTATGTGACCTGGCAATCAAAGAATATGTGTGGTACTGTTCCCGGACCAACCTTACAAAAAGAACAAATATTAATCAAATCAAGATATCCCAAGTTATCATAAGTTGCTAGCCTATTGCGAAAGGCAAGCCACATGATAAATGAAAATTTGGGAGGGATATAAGGCTTCCAATTAAAAGACATCCAAGCTCTTCTGGTCCCTTTGATTCTCAATAAACCATACACCTTTGAAGAGGAGAGCTTACCATTGTAAGAACACTTTCTAAGGTGATTCAAGGCCACGGGTATGGAGAGAAATTTGGATACGAGGGAGTCTCTAATTAACACCAACCTTTTCATAAGTTGTGAGTCTTTATTGTGTGGAACAAATTCGTTTTTTACCAATTTGTCTCATGAGAATTTTTTTTTGCCAATTTAGTAAATGGCCTATATGAATATAATATTAAAAACTTTGAAACGAGTATGAGCCTATATTCGTCCGAGATCGAGCTCAAGTCAATGTGTTCTTATCAAGTTCAAGCTCAAATATGACCAGATTTGAGTTTGACTCGATTCGTTTGCAAACCCTACACACGACTAGCCTATTAACAATATCATGCTTAAAGTATGACATTGTTCATTTGCCCAGCCCTAAAATGTAGACCTACCAAAGAAGATCACAAGAAAATTTGTACCCTCATCGAGTATAGAGGGACAAAAAAGAGGTTGTGTGGTTTGCAATTAGAAAAATAATTATATGAAGTCATACATTTTAAATACATACCTCATTCTTTTTAGTTTTTCTGAAAGGAAACTAACATATCATTAATTATATCAAACTCTCGGTACGTAGCTGAGAGACAATAGAATCAGACGGATTACAAACCATATAAAAACCTTCCGACATAGAAAGAGCAACCCTAGCTAGCTTATGAGCTACTACATTCGCGGATCATCTACAATGTATGACTTCAATCCTAACTTCATTATGAAGACTGAGTCTTATATGAGTTATATCTTCCAAAATAGTATCCAGGTAAGAGTCCCCATTGTGTTCCTCTAATCTAGATGCAACTATTAGAGAGTCGGTTTCCTAACTTAATCCTCTGCCAACTCTGTGTCTTTGCCCGGGCTAAAGCCTCCCTGACCCCAACCGCTTCTGTGAACGATGGCTGCCAGGGGAGGGGACGGGACGGGTACAATTAAGCCCCCTGGTTGGAGTTGCTGGTATGAATGTAGCGGATTTGCTCAATGAAAGAGGAGATCAGCGGAATAGGGAGCGGATTAATGCAATATTCTGGACTGAAGATAGGAAGGTTGTCTTATTTATTCCAATCAGCACCAGGAGGATCCCAGATGGGATATGGTGGAATGAAGATAACAGAGGGATATATATTGTGAAGAGTGGTTACAGGTTCCTACGTCGGGAATGTGCGGTTCGGGGATGGATGGGATGGACCAAAATTTGGAATCTAAAAATACTCCCAAAAATGAAATGCTTTGCTTGACGACTGATGACTGGATGCTTACCCACAACCAATAATCTTTGTCGTGAAAGAGTGGAGATGGATCAAGTTTGTAGACTCTGTTAGGATGAGGATGAGACTGAAGAGCAGTTTTTCGTTATTGCAGGGTAGCAGTCACTGTGTGGCAAAAATTGGGAGCCAGGTTTGTCCGACAAGGAAATGATTACACTAATTGGGTTAAAAGTTTTTCTTTGACAACTTGCATGATGAGGGGTTGTGTACGTTCACTGTTAATCTTTGGAGCTTTTGGAAGATTCGCAATGATAAGGTTTGGAAGAATCAAGATGCATATTGGCGTCAATGTTTGGAGATAGGTGCGTTGGTCTTGCGTGGATGAACGGCAGCCCAGGTGTCGGTAGAGAGTAGTTCCAGGGTGGCATGTCATATGACCGGTTGAAAAAAATCAGCTTCAGATACAGTTAAAATTAATGTGGATACGGCGTTATTAGACCTACAAAGCAACAAACATGCATGGGCATGAGTGATCAGGGATGCGCACCGTACAATCTTTTTAGTTAGTACTCACTTTCACATTTGTTAATGCACAACCTTGATCAATAATATATTTAATTCTCTATTTGTAAAATTATTAAAAATTAAAATTAAGATTTTTCAATGAGTTGAATTTAGCAATATTTTTCAAAAAATAAATTTCTAAAACATTGAATGCACTGAAAGTAGGGGATGTCAGTACTATAAGTTTCAACATTTAAATTTAATTTAATACTTAAAAATGCAGAAAAGCACATGATACATATGTGGAAAAGCTGATTAACATGAAAGTTGATCTTCAAATGCTTAAAACGGCAAGTATATGATATGTGTGGAGGCGCAACTTTTTAGATAAATCAATTTTAGAAAAATGGGCAACATTATTTTGGAAGAATTTGGCTTAAATTGAAATCTCAACATTCAGATGATGGGTAATCCGACAAATAGAATCCTCACAATCACTGTCCCGCGAATCAGACTCAGAGTTAATCACCTCATCAGAAGTAATATAACTCGCTGATTCATTAATATGCACACATGAGCCATAAACGGTTACCCCAATTCCAATGTCACCCACATCCAAATCCAATGTCTTACAACCAGGAAAAACAACAACTAAACCAAATAAAAAACATGCTGAAAAGTCTGAGAAATAATAAAAGCTAAAATAAAAAATAATAGTCTGCCTCCCGATCTGCTTGCTATGTATCCTCATCAAGATTCCTTGCTTCCGGCCCTGAATTCCCTTAGGCGGGTCTACTGCTCGAAGCCCACCTCCTCCCCGTTTTTTGTCTCATCCAGTGCCATACTT